AGAGAGGTAGATAGAGAGAAATAGATAAATGTATAGAAATAACAGATTGAGAGAGGGAGAGAGGGAGGTATTAATGGAGAGAGAGAAATAGAGGTGGAGCGAAAAAGAGAATGAGAGGGATAAGAGAAATTAAAAGTGAGATTGAGAGTAAGATAGAACGAGGGAGTGAAAGAAAGAAGAAAGAGGAGAGAGGATAGAAAGCGAGAGAGGATAGAGGATAGAAATAGAGAGAAAGTCTAACCTACAGCAACAATTTGAATGTTTTGCGCGTGGATCAGAGTTGGTCTATTCTACAGATAGTCTCCACTTATATGATATATCAGCTGCATATTGAAGCGTTGAATCCATTGATATGTTAAATGAACTCTGCTGTTTTTGTGTGGATGCACGATAGAAGTCGATTATCTATTGACTTTAATTCTGAAGTTCTCTCCAATTATCTCATACTTAACTAAAGTGCTGAGCCTAACTGAATAGTTCCCTAGAAAAGTGGCCCTATTGTAGGCTAAAAATCTATAACTGACACAGAGAATTTATTAGGGGCTTTCTAGTTTAGTCGGTTAGGCTCTGTCAGCAATTATTGTGCTTCGAATTCAAATTTGGATATTATAAGCTCGCCCTGCCTTGGCAATTGCCCAGTTGGCAGCAGGCCAGGTCGCCCTGTCGTGCTCGTGCTTGTGCTCGTGTCAATCGTGCTGTGGCAGCCACACGCGGTGGCCCCATCGATCCGATCAGTCGATCACAATGTCCATGTCACATATGTCAGCCGGATAAGATCAGCGCAGATCAGCAGCTGTCGATCACTGTGTGCCGCCACTTGTATCTGTATCTATATCTCCATCTGTGCATGTATCTGTATCTGTCTGTTGATGCAATAAACTTGTCATAAGCTCGAACAGCCTCTGATTAATGCCAAATGCAGGCCTCTCGAGTCACAAATAACAGTTTGTGCTCTCAATTGAAAAATTGCAAATTGCCATTGCATAAATTTGTTCTGAGTATCTGTATCTCTGTAGCTCCATCTGTATCTGTATCTGTATCTGTTGCTGTATCTGTAACTGCGTCAGCTAAATGTTTTGTTTTGGGCATAATTTATGCGCTTCCTGTTCAATTGATTGCATTTCCAAGTATTTTTGAGCACTTCGGGCATTCTAACGAGCCGCAACACACAATCGCCTTGATTGCATCCTGTTGACCCCATCTCGACTCGTCGCCCTCTTACTGCTCCACGCTGATCCATTGCACATCTTGCGCCCATGTCGTTTGTCACGCGTCTTGGCCAAATTGATCTGCTCAAATATGGATGGCTTAAACATTCTTTGGCCAAACAACAAATCGCCTGCAGCTTAGAGCCAACAGACAGCCGAACAGAGAGATAAACACACAGAAAGACAGCCAGACAGACAGACAGCAGCTGTGCTCAGCTCTTTTATGGCTCTCTAAAGTCGTTCATAGCACAATTTGTGTTAATCGAGTTTGTGCCTGCATATGCTTTAATTGTGGCGCAGACAAATTATAATCTGAATTAGGTGTTATAAGTGAACGCTTTGGGTTCAAATTGGCGACTGCGAAAGAAGGCTGCAAAGTTGAAAGTTTGAGAAACCGTCTCGAACTGAGTCGCAAATATGAGTCACCCGGCAAATGAATATGGGGTAGACGCTCCCTGAACGGAAATATAAACAGATATGCAATATATAATAGGAATGTATGCGCTTAGAGGTAATTTCGAATCTGAGTAAGTCCATGGGATATACAAAAATCCTCAGCAAGGGAAAGGAAGGCCCAAAGTGAGTAGTATAATTTATAGATGAGCTTTATCACTTATGTAGGTAGAGACTCGTCGGATCGACAGATAAACAGAGATGCGCTCAGCTCTTCATATCGATTTTTAAATAGAGGATTTTAGAGTAGACGGCAAAGGCAAAAAGGAAAGTCTAATGAGAGTATGTGTAGTTTATACATTCCAAGTGACGAGACTAGAGAGAGAGAAAGAGAGGAAGATAGAGAATGAGAGAGGGATACTCCCTAAATTTACAGATAAATATAGATGCGCTCAGCTCTTCATAGAAGTTTCAATAGAGGATTTATGAGTTTACGGCAAGGGAAAGGAAAGTCTAATGAGAGTATAAGATATATATATGTCGCATATTTCTTCAGATTAGATAATTTTGTCGAACGCAGCGTATTCCTGCACTATTGCACTTCTTCCTCTTCCTAATCAATTTTTCACTAGCACGTTCGATTACATCTATCGCAACCAACTGGCAAACTCGTCAGGACCACACTCGATATAAGTGTTTGTTAACATCTCACTCAACCAATATTACATATTGATTGATTATTGATTGATGTTGATTGATTATTGATTGATATTGATTGAAGATATTCTATTCGAATAATACTATAATCTCCGACATATATATGTATATTGAGTATTGATAGAAAGGGAGAAGAGAGATAAGCAGAGCTTTTCATAGCACTTCAAAAAGCTGCTCGAAGATAACTTCAAATTTGAGTAAGCCTATAGGAGATACATCCAGCTCTTACAACTAGAGAAAGGAAAATTCAAATTAAGTAGCTGAAAGCATAGTTTATGGGCCATGCGAAAAGTGAACCATTCGACTCTGGCAGCACAGCTCACACGCACTTTGGGCCAGCTCACGCACACGCACACACACACACACACATGGAGGGCAACTCGCATAGACACGATCATTATGCAGATTTATGACTTCAACAGTTGCAATTGATAGCCATGTATGCCTTATAGCAGCCGCCCACCTGTCCCCCAGCATCTCTCGCTCAGGTCCCGGTTCCTGCAGTCCGCCTCCTGCGCCGTGTGAGCGGCGTTAACAACGTTGTTTGTTTATGAGACGCTTGCATTGAATTATGGCAAGACATTAGCAACAATTTAGCGGCAGACATGTCGCCAGCTCCAATAATCATTAGCAGCGACACTTGGACGCTGCTTGCTGGCGCGCACTGTGCCGCGTCCATGGGCATGCATGAATGTACACACATACGTGTTAACATGTGCGTATATGCATGTTGTTGGCCAGATATCTAGGCCTTTTGGCCCAAGTGGGCGTCTCAAATTGACTTAATTAATCATTTTGTCATAATAATCAACTTTAATTAAATTCAATTTCAAATCGTACAGCTAAAGCAACACATTGATTGACTTCGACAGCGGCGAGTGAGCAAGTTCTATGCGGTTCAAACAAAAAAAAAAAAAAAAATGGTTATTAAATTATTACGAAATGTTTAGCTATGCAAGCGTCGCCCCTCCCACGGCTCCTGCACCTAGCCAGGTGTTAACTGTTCTAATTGGGGCTGCCGCTGCCTTATAGAGTGCTGATAACTACCTCTGTGCATGCTCGATTATGATGTGGCTGGTCCTCGACTCCAATCACCTCGCCTCAGCTCGACTTGTCTGATAATTGCCAGCATTGTCGCCAGACTTAGCAACGAGGAAGCCAAAACCCAAGCACGACAAATAGAGCATATATGTGTATACCCACATATGTATATATTTGCATGACATTAGCCCCTTCGCCCCGCCGAGCACCCCATCGACTAGCTGAGTAGAGCTCTATTGTGCCTGCTCCACAAAACGTTTGCTTAAACGTTCTTTAATCACCAGTTTCAAGTTGCGAGCTACCGACTTGCATGCTGCGCGTACTGCACAGTGGCACAAGGCCAATTTGTTTCCAATGCAATTCAAATGCTCGATTATAGCGAATATATAAAGCAATGAGAACTTTGTATAGTATAAAAAATAAAGAAATAAAGAAAACAAATATCAATAAAATTAATTATAAGTACATATACTACCTTATATGTATGTGTATGTGTATGTGTATGTGTATGTGTATCTGTTTATGCATGAGCTTTGAATACGAACCTACATACAACTTGGTCAACTCTCATCAATTCGATATCCCAAGCGGAAATATCGTTGGCCCTGTGTGAAGCTAATGTTTCGAGTATGCTTATACTCATTTACGAAACGAAGAGAGTATATTAGCTAGGCGCAATGCCCGTCTTGTAAAGCATTCAAATTTACTTAATCGTTCACTAGGGCCTAGATCTAAGAGTTTACTTACTGGGTAAAAATATTCAACTAGTTTTCGACTTACTATCAGTATTACGATATTTTCTTTCTTCATCTACTTCGTCTAATCTTAAGTACATGTGCTCTAGAAACTATCCTCACAACCAAATTGTAAATTTACTATGCCAGCAAATAAAATAAAATACATTCTATTCATAAATCTCCATATATATAGGGATAGTGATACAAATAACTTCAGTCCTACTTCAAGGCTCTTAAGCGAAATTGTCATCTGTGAATTTTTTTAATTCATAGCAATATTCCTCGACTAATGGAATATTACTGGAAAAGAAGCTTCCTGGAATATTAGCCGTAGTTGTGTATAAAGATCTGTTGTACATATTTGAACACGGTGTCTAACAGCCTGAATATTAAATTTATTCATAAATAATTAATAGACATTTATACACACTTACTTAACTATAAATTCATATATATGTATATATAAATCATTTCAATCTGCGCATAGATCCATAAATTCATATACATCAAAAGGCATTTACAAATGATGTTTGAAAGATTTATTCAGATATTCAAGTTATTTAGTAACAGAGTATAGTTCGATTATTGTAAGAGTTGTGTGGTATTCGTATATCTCGAGTGTTTCCATTGTTGAGTGTTTGTTTAGAATAAACGCAGTTCCATCTGGATAGTGTACAAGCACAGTGTAATACTTCACCTAAGCTGACTCCCAGCTAAGACTTGCATACACTTGATAATGCTGAGCTTCGAATTCATAGTAGAGTAATTGAGTGATTCTTGAGTTGAGCTACAGAATAATTGTGTATGTGTGTGTGTGTGTGTGTGTTTGTTGAGTATTGTAGTTAATGATGGTTTTCATTTTGTCTTTCGCCAGTTCCCGTTTGATTCACAATGGTATCGCTGCTTACGTCTGGCTGTTTGTGGACATAGGGACATCCTTCGAGGCAACATCGACCTGATAGAGTAAGCAGAGAGGCTGCACTAACCGAGACGTTCGACCATTCGCAACTTACCTGTTCCGGATCTGGAGAGCTTGCATCTGGAGAGCCCGCATCCTGGTGAGTATCTTTCTTGTCGTTATCCGAATTGGCACTGTTCTCGGCGTTCTTCTGCGTCGTCTTCTTGCTGCGACGCGAGATTGTGAAGTGCGACGGATTGTTGCCGTCGCGGCGTATCATGCCGGGCAGAATGCGGCGGCGTGCATTGATGAACCAGTTGTTCACCTGCTGCACCATGATGTTACCCTTGTAGGCGAGAATGCGCTTCTCCACCTCGTTGGGATAGGCGTTGTAGCGGTGCTCGTACAGCCAGCACTTGAGGATCTTCACGGCGTGGGGCGGCAAGTTGCCGCGGCGTGTCGGCGTGTCCTCTTCCAGGATCTGGTGTATGTTCCGGTCATGGGTTCGTACCCGTCCAGCCCCAACCTGCACCGTGGCTGCCCCCTCGGCATTCGCCTGGTTCGCCTGCTGCTGCTCCGTACCTACGCGCCTACGCCCGTTAGCAGAAGCAGCGTTGCCTGGCATTGGCAACAGCTTGGTTTAGTATATACGCATTTGGGGTGGCCCCGACTTACCTGTTCGGCCCACGTGTGTGGCATACCTCAGGTAACGCTGCCGCATTGCCTCGGTCACTTCTATACGGTTATACGACATTGCAATGAGACTTTTTCACAAATTTTCACAAGAAAAAAAATGTAAAAAAAAACAAATGAAAAATTGACAAAACTTTCTAATGCTTCCGTTTCAGGCTCAAGCACTGATTAAAAAGTGCATTGTCGATCCGACTCCAAAGTTAAGTTGACAAAAGCAATGCCTACATTGATTGGTTAAAAATTTAAAATATTATGACCCAGGTTTGCTTTGGATTCGCACTCGAATTTGAGCTTTAATTATACAAGTCCATCGGGCTGTCATTTTCAATTATATAAAACAATTTTTATTTATGGATATTCTGTCAATTGTAGTTATGATAAATGCCAAAACTCTTTATTTCGTCAAATGGGGAACCTTAACTCTAGATTAACACTAAAATTGGTGCATTTTCTAGATAATTAAAAAATTACTAGATAATTACTACAAATCACTTTTCTGAAGAAATGCCCATATATATTATAATACTAATAATATTTATTACTGTATTTTGTATAGTACATACATATATTGATTATTATATATAATAATTTATTTAAGTAAAGCTCGCCTTGTTCTTTGAGGATTCACATAAGCCTTGCCTTATATAATTCTGATATTTCAGGACGTAGTAGAAAGAGTTAAGAAAAAGAGTTAAGACTATCATTTGCATAATTCTGGGCCTAAAGTGTTCTCTCTCTAAAAGATCTCTCAATTATTCAAATTGTGGATAACAGCAGTTTAAACTGAGTTCTTAATAGTTGTTCCCAACAATCCAGAGTAAACAACATTAACAGCATCACTGTCACAGACCAGAAACCAGAAATGTGTGTCTACTGGTGTTAAAAGCACTTCAGACTCACATGCTAGAGTGAGAATCCTTTTCATATGGAAGATTGGAATTACTGTATATTAAAAAAAATTATATAAATAAACCCTTGAGACTATGCCAAATCAGCCTTAACTATATCAGCTTATATAAATCAGCATGACCTGGTTTTGAACATCAGTCTCTACCGACCTCCACTACTTGTAAATTACCAATTGTTGGGGCGTGGCACATTTGAAAAAATATTAGCATTATTATATTATATATGTATACATATTCGATATAGATTTTTCACATTTTCTATAGTTAAATCAGCTAAAGTCGAAATTTTTGCCAAGTTCTGCATGGAATGGAACCACTGTGCGCACTGCGTGCGTGTGCTTCTTGAGCATGTTCGCGTGGCTTGTGTGTGTTGGGGGAACTTCAATGCGAACCTCTTGCCACAATCGAGTGCAATTAACTGCCATGATATATGGCCAATCCCATATGCAGACGGCGACCGAGTCGAAGTTCGGCTGGGACTGAGCGGCCTGTTACGGTTTGTGTTTTAGCTTGGCTTCATAGCCGTTTTGCCGCTGCTTTATTGCACTTTTGGCAGCTAATATTTATTGGCCATAATTAAGGGGTCTAGCCGTGTCGTTCTAATCAAACTGGATGCCCGACAACGTTTTCTTTTTCTTATTTCGTTTTCTGATTTTGTTTTTTTTTTTTTTTGCTCCATTTGCCCAGCCCAGAGATCAGAGAGCAACGGACATTTGGGCACGGCTTCCGGGCAGTTCAGTTGAGTTGTGTTTGAGTTGCTTTTGCAATTGCTTTCAACTGAATCGAAAGTGACATATAAATACATACATACATATACATATGTACATATATACATACATGTCTATAAGGAGTTGCCTATTATGTCAGGAGTTTGGCTTCGTAATCATTCATGGCCATGGCTCGATCATGATTAAACATGAATGTATGTATGTATGTGTGTGTATCTGTGTGATTGCATGGACATAGCCATGCATAAAATGCAATCTCATCTTTCACCCGCTGCCATTCAAATCAAAGTCGAGTCCAAACTTGAAATTCATTTTTGCTTCTGCTTCTTCTTCGGCTTAGTTTGGCTTTGTGAAAAGCAGCGCGGAAATTATGACGCGTTTTTCTTTGGCATTGAACGAGAAGGCGAAGTGAATGTCTAAAACTTATCAAAAGGCTAAATGCAATTGTTGTTGCTGTTGTTGTAACGGTAGCACGTTTGTTTTTGGCAGGTGGACTGGTGGGCAGGTGGCTTGGCCAGTGAGCGCCACAGCCACAGCTGAAGTCTCGTTGACTGGAGTCTGTTGGCCTGGCCGGAAGCGTTAACAAATTCGCGCAGAGATCGCTTTGGTTAGCCAAACGGCAAATGGCGCCTCGGCACGCGCATCGTCAGCATTGAGTCGTCGTCATCATCATCATCATCATCATCATCATTATGGGCATCGTTATCTGCAACAAATTCATTTTCATTTGCTGTTGCTCTTGCGGTTCGTGTTGCGGTTGCTCGCTTTTCAATTAAAGCTGCCAAAATAAAAGGCGAAGGCCCCCTAAAAAAAAAAAAAAACAGAAAAATAAATAATACTGAAGTCTATGCCAGAATTTGCGACTTCATTTGGGGCTGTTCACTTGCTTTGATTAGTTCCATTGTCTCTCTGTTTACCATAAACAATTTGCACGAACTTGAACTGCATTGGCGAAGCATCAACTTTCAATTTGGGCCAACGACTACCACTGGGAAGGGCCAACCAAGGCAGTGGGAGTGCTCTTGGATTGAAAGCGCCGCTGCTTGGATTGGAATACAGTCTTCGACTTCTTCTTCTTCTTCATCTTTTGGGTACATTGTCCGCTTGCTCTGAAAAGCTAAACATGAGCGATAGCCTTCAAGCGTGTACCGCAAGCCAAGGTAATGATATAATTGTATACATCGGATCGCTAATATATTATTGGGGGAGGAATCAGTTGTTTATGTTTAGTAACTTATTATTGTGCAAGTGTTATGCGGGTGAGTTTCTTGTTTGTTTTATAAGTTCCTCATTATGAGAGAGAGGGATAGCTATTGCTAAACTGCTGAGTGAGAGGGAGATGGCACTTTGGCTATTCGAACAGGGCTGTTATAGCTACTCAGCTGACATATACAGTGGCTCACACAATATTTCAACCAGGAGTTAAAAAACTATGGGCCCTTTTAAAAGCTAATTAAGAGTGTGTGTGTGAGAGAGAGAGGGAGAGCGAGACAGGGAACGGAAGAGAGAGGGAGAAAGAGTGAGGGAGACAGAGAGAGAGAGAAATAAGTGCATATGAAGTGTGTATAGCACCATTTACCAATACTTTTAATGAAAAAAGATTTCCCATTTTCAATGGATGTAGGGTATAAGAAAATAAAGGAATATTTGTCTATTCAATTGTCTATTCGTGGATACTAGAGATCTACAAGAACTTTCAAGTTTACATCATATACATATGTATGTATGTATGTACATATAGAGTTTCTGAATACATATGGAGCGAAGGACGGACGGACGGACGACTCAGTTCATTGCTCTGATTGGGCTTAAATGCAATTTAAGGGGTGTGCCACGCCTCCCTCTGCCTCTTACACACATTTCAACAAAACCAATATACCCGTAACTCCCATTTGCAAATAAAAAAAATATAATGAAAAGAATATAGAAATGGGAATGATGTAGTATCAATTAACAGTTTATTACAATATAAGCTCTAATAGAGTGCGACTGACAGCATATTTAAAAATCATAACGAATTGTGCGAATTGATGCATTATGCATTCAGAACAGTTCTGAATAAGCGATCAGATGAAGCAAATGCTAATGGAGGCTTCGGCATGGCTTCAACGGCTTCTCTCGGCACGTTTCGAGGCGAGCGAATAAATGGCTTCAATTTGTCTGGCCGCGCTTTCAGTGCTCGAGTTCGAAACCCGATTGAAATTGAAATTGAGATTCGCGATTCGAGTTCGAATCGAATGCATAATGAGAGTCGACAAATTGCCGGCAATTTATTGTGCAATCGTCGCACTTCGCATTCCATATGCCAGCTCCGAATTCCGAATTCCGTATTCCGTGTTCCGATTTCGATTGCGATTCCATTGGTTCTCACAATTGCCGCAATTGAGTGCAGTCAGTGGCTGCTGTGCAATTAACGCGATTTAATTACAGTACTCGACCAAGTTATGTCTCTTTGGGCCCAGCTGCCATTTGGCCATTTTCCCATTTGGCCATTTGCTCAATGGCCAATGCAATGCAATTGCATTTGTATTACGACGAAATGCAAATGAAGAAGTCAACAAATTCCAAATACTATTTTTTGCCATCTACTGAAAATTGCAAATCACTCTTGTTGCTGTTGTTGTTGTTGGTGTTGGTGTTGCGCATGCGTGTGAGCGGACAATAACAACATTGCACTCACTCGCATAAATCGTTGACAAAGGCGTTCAACAGCGGCGCAAACAGCAAAATCAAATGGAAAGCAACAACAAGAAAACTGCAAAAACGAAAAGAAAATGAAACTCACGAAGCTTAAATACTCTATTTATACAGACCAGAAATTCGTTTCATATATAGAAAGGCTGGCAGGATTATTTATAGCGTAGAGTGGAGCTAATTATATTATGTGATGAGCTTCTACAATAATTTAGCTGCTCTCCTTGCAGAGCAACATCTTGGGCAGCTTTTCTATGTCCATTCACAATGAACATCGTATTGTTCGCACAAGAGGTCAGCATGCCATCTCATTCCCTCTCAACTGGCGTGCAGCCACAGCTATGTTTGCCTCTCTCACTCACTCACGTGGGGTGCCAATTTGAGTATGCCACGAAGAGTGCTGCCAACTCGATTAATGTCTCCTACTCTTAGTGCGAACATTACTCTGCAATATCACGCGATGCGAGTTGTATGATTAAGTAAACTTTTTACTAAATTCCATTATAAACATATTAGTTAATTATTACTCTTTTTAGTCAATTATTATTCTTACTGATTATATATTATTATTATTATATTATACATTATTACCTACTGTAAAATACCTTGACTCTTCTTTCAAAATATTTGAGCTTTCCCCTATGCATAAAAATCATTTCCAGCTGCTCACATACCTTCTATAATGTGTTGCAAGAGTCCTCATAGATCACTTATGCCTTCGCCTGTAAGGCCTGCAACGCAACATGAAAATGCATGGAAATGAATGCGCAGCACGCGAAAAATTCATTAAAAGTGCCGCAAATACTGCACAAATGCCCGAGCTGGGCTCGAAGGAGACTTGGCCAATTGGGAATCGAATTCTGACCTCTTGATCCCGCAATCAACGCACTCAATTCGCCAAAGATATTGAGTTCTCTGTGCAGACTGTGGCTGTTGTGCATACATTTCGTTAATGAGTAACAATATGCACCGCATATATTTGTAGCACAGTATATACAAAAGGTATACAAAATTTATACAATATACGTAGAAAACACACGGTGTCGAGACGGACTACAGTAACTAATCGAGTGGTGATATGGCGCTCAGAGCGAGCTTATATAGGTCGGGCGGGCCGCGCAGGCGCAGCTTGCGAGCGCAGAGCTTCACCAGCCAGGGTATGTCCAGGAAGTCGGCGCCCCTCATGATTGCCCGCACGGTCGGGAGTTTCTCGCGTAGAAACTCCTTGTCCCAGTCGCAGATGAGGCTCTCCACGTTGGCTGGCTCCTCCTTCATTTGGACCCAGGCGGGCTCCTCGTCGTCCTTGTGAAACTCCATCCAGAGCAGAATCATGAGCAGAATATCGTGATCGAGGGCAACCAACAGCTCCTGCTGCGGGCCGTCGCCGACGCTGTGCTGGCACATTTCCTGCATGACCTTGGAGCGGCGCAGCAATTCGAAATCAATGCGTATGAGGAAGCCGTCCCTGGTCTCTAACGGAACGCGATTCATGGTTGGGGTAATTCGTCTGCGCTGAAGACTTCTTTGAAAATTTTGACAAATTGAACCAGGAGTTTGCTTAGCTTGAATCGATGGCCCCGATTAATGTGTGGCAGGCGCCCAGAGGCCGGGCAGCGTGTTGTTCAATTTTACACTAGTATGGCTTTGAATATGTATGATTTTCAGATGTTATATTTCCTGGAGTACATTTTTTGTTGTAAATTTATCGAAAAGTTGTTTGTCAGTGAGAAATTTTCCAGCGAGGCGCTGCCTATTTGATTTGGCTTTAGACGAAACAAACTGAGTTGACAGCTCACACAATACACAACACTAAAATCGTGACATTTTACAGCACTGGCAAGGGATGAAGCAACGTGAAGATGTTAATCAAGCAAAGCTCATCAATTTCTGTTCGATTTACGTAAATAGATGCATGTAAATATTTTAATTTATATATGTAGGTAGGTACAGTTTGGCAAGAAAGTGTTTACACACAGGGAAATTTTTTTAATTTTTTGCT